GAAGCTGAGAGTGAAGATGAAGATGATGATGATGATGATTGTAAGAAGTCCTCCATGGATGAGGTATGGAGGCCTACGATGACATATTTAAGAAAACAATTATATTATGGCTATTTTACATGGACTTTCCAACTTGTCATATAATTTTAATTTAAGTAACTGGGTTATTTAATTTCATGTAATAAAAATTAATAACAATATCATTTTGCAACCCATTAGTTGCTATTTGACCGTTTAATATTTCAATTAACATTCCAGTCTGTTTTTTTTACCTAAATTTGAATTGTAATGTTTTCACCCACACACAACGTTTCTTTTGATCACTCAATAAGAATTGATTCTGCTTTGTTTCTGCTTGTTACTCATAGTTTGCAGTTCACATTATGTTCAAGCATGATAAGCCCTAGTCATGAAATAACTTTCCTTAAGCCATTACCAAATTTGTTAATGTGTATCATCAATCCTGTGGATAAAATGAGTAGTCTTGATGTATATTGCTTTTTAAAAAAGCATTTCAAATGTAAGGTATTAGATCTTTGTTCCAGAACTTCCTGACATGGAATATAAGGCTGACACAGCCAGTGACGGATACTGGCACTCTAAATTTAAATTGCTTTGACTTTTTAAGCGTTATAATTTCCCTTTGGTCTATTTCCATTAAAATAACAGAATGGGTATATTTTGTTTCATAATGTTAATGCGGTAATAATGCATATTGAACTTGCTTGAAGTTTTTCTTCTAATTAGTATATTTTTTCTGAAATCTGAAAATATTACTTCTTTATGAGAGCAAGAATGTCACTACAACAATACCCTCTCCTGTGTGTTTGCTATTCTACAGAGCAAGAATGCCCTCTAGTGTTTTTCTTGGAATTCTTCTTTTCTTTAATATTAGTGTTTGGTGAATATGACAGGATTCTATTGATTTGATGATGAACATTTCTTGTTTTTCCTGCCTTTTTTTGCATTAATGAAGGGAACTGCAGGAAGTGAAGCCTTTGCCACAGAAGAAATGTCAAACCTGGTGAATTACATTCAGCCTGTGAAGTTTGAGAGTTTTGAGGCTGCCAAAAGTATGCAGTTTTATGGATACGTTCAAAATACTTCGCGTCATTTTTAACAAATATATTAATACCCAATATGAACATGTTGACTCAACAAACAAGTATATAATTAATTTGCTGATTTGCAAGTCGTTACGGCTTTACCAGGAAAATTAGTTCAGCATAATTTATAGCTTCATTGAATATACAAAGCTATACATGTATAAATTATAGATAAAATTAGATTATGAATGTGTGGACAATTATTTTAAAAATTATGAATTAATTATGTTTAACTAAATGTTTCTTTTGCAGAAATTAATCGAAGTTTTGAAATGTCATCATTTGTGGAAACGAAAGCTCTAGAGCAACTTACAAAGTCACCTGTGGAATTTGTGGAATATCCTTTTTTTAATTAAAATAAGTTAAGGCTGAATTACAGTACAAAATATGAAATTATTTTCAGTAACGTGTCAGACAAATCTGCCTACTTAAGTGTACAAAACACTTATATTTGATTTCAGCCTTTTAATATCTCTGGCCCTCTGTGGTTATCATTAGACAGTATACTGTTCAGTATGTCTCAGTGTGATCCCTTTTTATAATTTTGGTAATTTTAATTTTGCTAATGTGAAGTTGATCTCCTTACACCTTAGCAGAGTCTACAGCTTGCTGTAAGCTGCAGCAGACTGCATTGTGTACCTTGGCCTCTTTTGTCTCAGCAGTATCTATTGTCAGCTGATGAACTTGACCATCAGATCACCTGGAGATATCTGCAAGAGTGATGGTAGCATACTGGTTAATAAAAAGTATTAATACAATAACTGAATCTTTAACGCTTCTTCTTGTTTGTGGAACTTGTATCAGTTGCAATATTTAACAAAATATCTGATAGCATTTCAGTAAGTGTGTGAAATACTGTACATTGAAACTGAAAACATCCCATTAATTTATATTGGAGAAATGTTTTCTGCAAAAATTATTGAGACTATTAGTTTATTAATTTGTCTTATTTGGCATGGAATTAAAGATTCAGCATCCTATTTTTTTTTAAAACAAGCACTGGTGTAGAGGCACAAGTTATCACATTTATCCATCAAAGCACTTACTCAAAACTTTTTTTTTGTAAGGTACATTGAGGACTGCTCACAGCCATGACCTAGTTATTAGTGTTTTAGGCCATTTTTGCAATAAAGGGCAAAAACTCTGTTGTCCAACTTCATACAATAGAACATCTTTTTTGACAGGCAAATGGTTTTTGAGATATTTTTGTCGGCTCTTGTTGTCATCTTGTAAATGAACTAAATGTCTGAACTGTCAGAGTTGAAATCGTACAGAGAAAGAGAAAGTCCTACTCTGTAGTGGAAATCACTGTAGAAACTCCTTTTGTGTCATGCTCTATCCATTGAGCTTCCTATAGGAAAGTCAGTGTCAGTGTGCTGTTCCAGTTCATTTAAGAAACCCAAATTTGTTTTTTTTAAGTTGGAAATCATTGTCAATCAATAAAAATAAACTTATGCAACATGTAAACCCTAGCTGGCAGAGAACATTCATCTTCTAATCATGCAATCTTCAAATTCCCGCAAAAAAACTAATCTCTTGATACTGGGATTCTGAAAAGTGTGCTGCATCATAAATCCATATCCCCTGTTGACTGTTGTTGTGCTTAAGAAACAGAAAAGTAAATACAATATATGTACTTTACATTTACATAACTATTTTGGCAATTTTAATTAAATATCAAATATATCAGAATGTTAGATAGTTAATTTGTCTCCTAAATGTTTGGTGAAATGTCTGTATCTGAGATATTATATGCGAAGATAGGTACTCAGGCAATGGAACTCAAAGGTTTGTGTCTTTGTATTGTTAAAGGAAGGTATTTATATTTGAAACTCAAAAAACAGATGTTTGAAATAATAGTTCCTTACGCTTATGTAGTGCTTTTCTGGACACTCAACTCAAAGTGCTCCCCTCTACCATCAACAATGTATAGCATCCACTATGGATGCAACGGCAGCCATAGTGCACCAGTAAGCTCACCACACATCAGCTATCAGTGGGAAGGAGAACAGAGTAATGAAGGCAATTCATAGATGGGGATTATTAGAAGGCCATGATTGGTAAAGGCCAATGAGAGATTTGGCCAGGACGCCGGGATTAAACCCCAGTTTAAATCATCTGAAGGACGGCACCGTTTTATAGTATAGTGTCCCTATCACTATACTGGGGCTTTAGGACCCACATAGGCTGCGGGGTGAGAGTTCCCTGCTGGCCCCACTAACACCTCTTCCAGCAGCAAAGCTTAATTTTTTCCCAGGAGGTCTTCCATCCAGGTACTAACCAGGCTCACACCTGCTGAGCTTCAGTGGGTTGCCAGTTGTGGGTTGCAGGATGATAAAACTACTGGCAAATTATACTTTAATTTGTTAATGTAAACACTAGTGTGAAGTGTGCTTATAGTGCCATCCATCTTGTAAACAAATTAAGTTAACAAAGCTTTAAAACAAGATGAGACCACTGAAATTATGATGAAAGGGAAAACACCTTCCTTAATGTGGTGCAGTGAAAATAGTTTATTTATTTTTAAACATTTAACAAATCACTGACTCTTACTTTGACCATGGTGGAAAATATGGCAGTTCTGATACATTAAGGATGCATGAGCAGCAGATTGTGTTATTGGGTTATTGTATTAAACAAGAAAAATCACCTAAACAGTGTTTATATTTGTTTGAAGGATTTCCTGTTATATGGACTTATTTACATATTTTGAGCAACTGAAGTTTATACGATTCAATTACTGTAATTTATGATATACTGTTTTCATATTATATCATAATAATATTATATAAGGCACTGAGTTCCTCAAGAACAGTTACAGTATATAGCTCATGCAATAACAAGCAAGTTTTTTTTTTTAAGTAACTGTCTGGCTCTTGTATTTATTGCCCTCTAGAGGTTCACCGAAGTCAGTGCATTATTGAAAGGGAAGCACTGTTGGCAGAAACTTAAGCAGTTTAACAGATGCTACAAAGTTTAACAGTAACATCTGGTGGTTAACATGATAAGAGTGTCACATATTACAAAACCTCATCTCAAGCTTAATCCCTTTGGAAATATATTAGCTTTTACAGAAGTAAATGCAAATCAGGACATGATTCACTCTTGTTCTATATCAAGTTTGTTATAGCAATAGTTCACCTCTCAGCCTGGGCTGAGGGAGGTCTTCTTTAGCTCATGCGGCTGGTTCCCTGTTGCGTTGCGCCGGAGACCCGGGTTCGCGCCCCAGGTGCTACAGGACGGAACGGGTGGCGGGGGGCTCAAGCCCGCGTGGAACCAGAGCGATCACATTGTTGCCGTGACTTGGGCGGGAGTGTGGAGTGTCCTTCGCCGAAGCGAAGTTCAGCAGGGGAGGGTGTAATGGAGCTAGTTCAGATACGGTGACGTCAGCACCCACCCTGCGCGTAGCAGGGACCTCAGCTGCCTGGGCTGAGGGAGGTCTCCCTTAGCTCATGCGGCTGGTTCCCTGTTGCATTACGCAGGAGACCCGGGTTCGCGCCCCAGGTGCTGCGGGACGGAACAGGCGGCGGGGGGCACAACACCGTGCGGAACTGCGACGATCACACTAATACCAATGCTCCATTTACAAACCTCCTGTTCTTCTTAATAACTTAATTTAGGTTTAGGATGCCTGTGTTTTTATTTAGCTGAAATGTATTTAGTTGAAAAGCCTTCACCCACAATTTGCCTTTCTGGTATTTGCTCTAGTACTTCATTCATCCATACATTTTCAAAAGGCTTCAGCCAACTCAGTGTTGTAGGGGAGCTGGGGCCTAACCTGGCAAGCAATTGGCGCCAGTGCACTAGTTATCAAACAAATGTTAATAGTTTCTGACTATGTGAATATATTTGATTATACTTCTTTAATGTAACATATTTTTATGTTTGCCATGTAATGTAAGACAACTCAGGGATTACATTTTATAGAAACTGTATTAGAAAAACATTGGTTTGTCCTTTTCCTTAATAAGATTTCTCCAGGTACAACAAATTACAGCTCAGCAGAATTTATCCAAAGGGCACCAGAGTGGATTCTTCCAACTACATGCCTCAAGTATTTTGGAATGCTGGGTGTCAGCTGGTAGCATTAAACTTCCAGACAATAGGTAAGATTACACCTATCACATTTTCATGCAAGATGCTAACAGAAGAGGATGTACTACATGCATGGTAAACAATCGATAAAACATGGATTCAAAGACAGACTGGAGTGCTTTTATGATTTTAAATTGTTAAGATTAGGTTGTGTTCTTTCAGATTCTCATTTATTTGACCTTTTGTTTTTCTATAGATCTCTCTATGCAGTTAAACTTGGGGATGTATGAATATAATGGGAAGTGTGGATATAGACTCAAACCTGAATTTATGAGACGCCCAGACAAGCACTTTGATCCTTTCACAGAAAGCACTGTGGATGGAATAGTAGCAAATACACTATCAGTCAAGGTGAGTCTGCAATTTTGTCACCATCTAATTTGTCTGGTCATATAATGTTAAAACTAAAAGTATTTGAATAAATAAATATGCTTTTAATAAAAGGTACTGTATAAATACATTGCATATTAAAATACAAAATTGATAAGAAATGCTCTTTATCTTAAATCAATTATCTAGATTCTGGTAAAGTTTTCTAACTAATCACATTTACAGACAACTTTTCATACCAAACTATGAAGATTAGCAAACACTGAGGATGTGTAAAAGGAAATTCAAAAAGGCTTAAACTAAATTCAGGACTGGTCAAACACTTGGAAACTAATGTTTTAATGTAGTGATGTGTAGGGTGTTGCATACGTACGTAAGCTAACGTACCAACAGCATGAACTACAAATATAAAATAGGAAAGTGAATTACTTACAGTATGAGAAGGGCTTTGGTATTTATGTGGACAGATTATTTTCATCTTCCAGTCAATGTGGGGAAGCAATAAAAAGCTAACAGTCTGTTAAATGATATTGTTAAAAACTGTAATACTAATGAAGGGGTGCCATGTTAAAGTTGTACAATGTACTAATAAGAGTTACTGTATACAATTCTGCTCAACAAGATACAAGGACAATATTGCTGCTCTTGAATAAATCCAGAGAAGAAAAATCAGATACAGTACTTTCTTGGGTTTAAATAATTCAGTTGTTTTACCACAAGGGCACCTGTTTCAATTATTTAAAATCCACAGTCACGCCTTAGTATTTATTCTGAATCAGGGAAACACTAACCAGAGGGCACAAGTGAAAACTAAGGGAAGGTATATTTTCAATCAAGAACAAGAGGTATTAGTTTACATAAAAAGTGTTGTGGGGTACGGAATGTAACAAGCTGCTCATCCGTGTTGTTGAAGCTGATCCCTGGGCGCCTTAAAAGAAATGCTTGAAATCAATCTTTGGATTATTCAGCTGTTAAGTAACCAAATTAACTTAATAAACCAAATGATCGCCTCACATTCAAAATCATTCTTACATTGGTATTAAAGTATTTTGAATGAATCTTGTGGATTTATCAAATTGAATTAATTTATGAAATTCAAGGTCAGTTGTTTTTGCATTAGCTTGTCGTCCTTTTGTTTTGTAATATATTCTTGAAAGGTCATATTGAATTCAGAATATTCCCTAGGCTGTATGTACCAGAACTAAATTGTTTAACCTTTGGAGATTTTGTTCAAAATTCAGAAATTGTTGTATTAAAAATAGTTTGTTATTTAAATGTTAATAACACTGTAGTATCTATTATTCATATTTGGAAGAGAACTGACTTTTATTGATAGACATACAGTTAAGCATTGAGAGTTGTTCCAACAAAGTTACTTGTTTCTGTTAATTTCCTGCTTACTGTAATTGCCCCCAGTGAGCACAGTCTACAAGGAGCTGCTGTAGGTTGCTTTATTGGGTAGGGAGGTGAGAGCTCGCTGGTAGATGTAGTATCTAAAGCTGCTGGTGTGGGTTGAAGGGATCGCATGAGGTTTTGGTGAAAAAAGGAACAATTAGACAGTTTAGATGTGAAAAGAAAGAAGGTAACAGCAAACCTGGCTGCTACTGTTTCAGGAATGCCAGGGTTGGTAATTGAGAAGCATCCCTTGCTAACCAGCCTCAGCTGTTGAAAGGTTTAGACTTAAAGGGTTAAAAATGAACTGATGGAGAGACTAGGGAATATTTTTATCATTTCTTAAAGGGATTAAAATGTGCTTGAGAACCAGAGATAAGAAAATCATTTCTGAAAGGCAACCTGGGTAAAGAAGGCACTATCTAAAGGAACTGAGAAGGGAAAAATGCTTTAAGGGGAATTATCTGTTATACTTTCCCCTTATGGGGAGATTATCTGTAACCCCAGAGGGATTACTGTTCAGAGAGAATGAAAATGTAAACTGACCATAAGGCCCAGTGAAACATACAGTATCACCAAAGGCTGAATGTCCAGTACTGAAGATAGAGTGGCATGGTAGAGCTTCGGAAGTACAGACCAATACAGTTTCTAAATGGAATTTACAATCCCTAAACAACTAATTAAATGTCATAATAAATAATTATAATATAATAATAATATCATTATCTATTTATTGTTAGATTATATCTGGCCAGTTTCTGTCAGATAAGAAAGTTGGAACATATGTAGAAATTGACATGTTTGGACTTCCGGTTGATACAAGAAGGAAAGCTTTTAAGACAAAGACCTCCCAAGGAAATGCAGTCAATCCTGTTTGGGAAGAGGAGGCTATAATGTTTAAGAAGGTAAGTAAACCAATTGCGGTAGAGTATTTGAAATAATTACGATTTTCTCAATATCAGGTAATTCCAGAATCTTCTGGACAATTTTCGTCTTACCCTTCATAAGCCACAATATAATGGCAATGAAACAGTTCTGTAATGTCATTTTAATTCTCATGACTAAAACTGGAATAATTACTTTTGTCTTTGCAAACAAATATTACAGCTGTTATATGTCTTCTCCCTTATGATTGCAGAGCAGATACAAAACTCAGCACTAACTATACTGTATGTAAACACATTTCTACATCTGGATGCACTTTTGATTTTTGTTAGCTTTTTATTTTAAAAATACATTTCAAAGAATACAAGTTTCAGACTAGGCCTCAGATTTACTTTGTGACTTCCCCTTACATTTTTATGCACTCAGTGGAAGCTAGAAGCACTTATGAAGAAGTATTATTGTCTGACATAACTCGGAGGGAATTCAAAAACCCTTCTATTGGCTATATTTCAAAATCACAGCATGTTTCATTATGCTGTGTCACACACAAAACTGAAGATATTAACACTTATCCAATAAAAAATTAGAACTCACAAAGTCCTGTTTTTTAATGATATAGCTAAATGCTACATTTTCATTTTAGATATTCAAATGTCTATATACTGTATTACGCACACATAATCACAAGCACAAAAGCAAAATGAGGGTGACCCCTACAGTCTGTAATTTATATAATTTAATCACATAGAGTAGGGTGAGAGAACATACTGTATATTGAGCATAAAAAACATCACTTCTTTGCAACAAATGCTATTTCATGAAATAGACAAAAAATCCTTTAGATGGCAAGTGCTTTGACATTTTATTGAACATACAAAAACATTGTAAGTCATATCATTATACTATATAACATTTGTCATCAGCAGCGGGTCTACTGTCATAGTGTGTCGTGATGTGTCTTCAGTCACGGTTGAAGCATACAGTCTGTACGTCTTTGACACATGCTTTGCAACAGTAAGGAGATGTTATCTGGTGGGATTCTATTACATTCCTCTCTTAAAGCTGAGCAAGCGTGTGCCTTTTCACTGGTCTCAAGTCATACTTCATCCCATTTAATTGCAAAAATGTATAATGGAGTCCAAGTGAGTAATCCACAATACAACTGTTAAATTCCCATCCAAGCCATTGTTATACTGTATGAGCAGCATTAGGACATGTGTTGTTATGTTAGAATAAGACAGGAAGGGCTGCGAGTGAGGTCTTAGAAATTGATTAACAAAACACGGTCAAGTTTACATTTTATAGCAAACATGGAGTGATGTACTGTAGCAACCAGCACTCCTGTCCATACAATCAGACTTGGACCGCCCCATCAGTTTTGGTGAACTAATTGTGTCCCAGATTGTAGCCTGTCATTGACAGTGTTTGGCTGCAACATCTTTCCAGTTTGCTCACCCCAGATAACAAACCATAATATGCTGACTTGGCTGACTTTCTAACATTCACAGAGAGTTAGAGAGGTGTTATTTTCTTGATACATGAAGCATATTGGTTACTTTTTATAGATTTAATTTCTTCATTTTCATTACATTACATTTACATTCAGTGCTTTTCAATCACTCTGTCCCCCAAGTCCAGTCAACATTCTCTCTAATGAGATCAGATTATATGACAGTCAGTCATAAATTCTAAAGTAATCAACATAATGCTTTAAACATTTAATCAGCATTAAAGTATCTTTAAATTATTTCTCTAAAAACATACTGTGCATGCATAGTGATTTATTTTAGTGTTTGGTAGACTGTATATACATACATGTTACAGCATGAATATGTACAGTAGGAGTTTCTTGAAATCCCTGGTTTCATTTTCATACTATTACACATATACTTTACATTTCTTTATATCTTCTAGTTTACAGTGGGTATTTTGAAGTAACACATCCATTTGAAATAATAAAATATTTAAATAATATCTTTGTCCTAATTAATGTAACAAATCCAAGATGATAAATAAAAAATGATTAAAAAATTCAAAATTGTAAAAATGATTGTCAGATCATATGGTCCTACAACATATTTGTTGTTCCTGTTATTATTTATTATGTTTGTAAGGTAAGGTACTGTCTACATTGTGTGGCGTCTGTTGTATTGTGTATGTCCTGGGAGATTAGCATGAAGAATAATTCCAGTATAAATGTACACATGGCAAAAACTACTGTACAATATTCTAAAATTATGTAGTGGTATTTTTTTAGAAAATTAAGACTTAAAATTTTGTCAGAAGAATAAAAGAGATTTATATGAAACTTTGTCAATAATGCCTTTATTTCATAGGTTGTGCTGCCCTCTTTAGCTTCATTGAGAATAGCAGTATTCGAAGAAGGCGGTAAATTTATAGGCCATCGTATCATCCCTGTCTCTGCAATCAGACCAGGTAAGAGCTCCAGGCATGTTGTGCTTGACTCATTCATTGTCTTGCTGACATTGCTTCTGCTTAGTTTACAAATCCTTCTTTTTTAGGTTATCACTACATCGGCCTTAGAAATGAAAAGAACCAACCTCTAACACTACCTGCTCTTTTTGTGTACATTGAAGTGAAGGACTATGTACCAGATACCTTTGCAGGTACCTTATATTTTTTCTTTTTTATTGATGCCCATTAAAGATCAAGAAGATGAAATTCTAAATGTTTCAAAATTATAGCACTTTGATGAACTTGTTCCTAGTTGTCATCAAGAGTTTTGGGATTTACTATAGCTGTTCTGAAAAGACATGTATTAATTTATAAACATTCTTATTAATGAAAATAGTTTTTATTCTGACATTTTGATTTTATGTGGTTTCAACTAATGTTTTAATTATATACTGTATATATTTGGTTTTGTTACTGTATATTGAAACTGATTAACATAGCTTATTTTAGTGTTTTATTTAGGAAAGGTTGTTACTGACTGAAATTACTATTAATTTGTTTTCTCTGTGTGTATTGTGATCCCAGTTTTGGAATTTCCTACAGCTTCTTCTCATCACCAAGTCCTTGGCTCATGGACTCTGAGGCTCAGTGAACATTGCACTGTCTTTCCTGCAACTCGAAATCTCTTACTTAATCTAGGAGCCTCTCTACTCCTAGACAGTTTGTTTTGCCTTCACAACAGGCATTCAAAATAGTGACTGACAAACCTTCACAGCCTTTTGGGGAAACTTTTTCTCTGTTTTCCCCACTCATCACATACATTACTCTCCTCCGAGAAAGGTGCTACTACACTGCCCTCTCATTGGAGCAACTAGGATATGACACATACTGTACTCTAGTTTCTTATGCTCACACTGTTTGAGCTTATCTACTGTCAACAGCTTCTAAACCCTCAGCTTGTAGACTCTCAGTGTTAGAGTCTCATACCTCCAACACAATGTTTTTGGTAGCATCTCATATCTCATCTCATTGTTTCTCATTTAATTCATTCTCATTTTGTTCATGCTCTGGTCCTTTCATGACCTGTTCTGAGGCCATATCCCTGGATGTCAATTCTCATCACCAAGTCCTTGGTTCATGGACTCTTGGCCTCAGTGAATCACGCACTGTCTTCCTTACTTAATCTAGGAGCCCCTCTATTCCTAGACATTTCACACTCCTACTCTGCATGTCAAACACCCAAGTACACATCTCTCTTTCTCGTGGACTCCTATTTCTGGAGCATCCCTCTGGCCAGTCAGACCTACAGATAGTGTTTTATCATGCAGTGAAAATAACAATCCACTGATTTATGTTAACATTATTATTAGGTTTCTAGAGCAAAACATTAATTGCATTTTGGTAACATGCTGTTAACAGATGTGATTGAAGCACTGTCCAACCCAATCAGATATGTCAACCTCATGGAACAGAGAGCCAGACAACTAGTTGCTCTGACACTTGAGGAGGAAGAGGATGTCAGCAAAGAGGTAAGGATTTTTGTGATAAATGTTTTTTGTGATTAATTAAGTCTAAACATGTCTGTACTTGTTCTCTGATATAAACAAGGTTGTTGAAGAAACAAGAGCAAAATGGAGAATATACAATAAGAGTGTTTTGACAGAAAACACAAGTGTTCTGAGCAGAAAGTATGGATAGTTGGATACTACAACATCAGGGCAGCTAGGGCCTTCAACAATTCCTTCCCATAAGTTGCCACACAAATTCACAAATTGTAGAGCACCTGCTAGTGCTCCCTCCCATGGACCAAAACAGTCACCACCTCCTGTCCTCACTTAGAGAAAAATGAACATTAATGAACAAAAATTAAACATTAATGCAGCCAACCCACCTTACCCAGAGTAAACATCATAGGACTGCAGACTCAAAACCCCCTATGATATACAGTAGCAAGACAGGAAGGAAAAAAAAAGTTTCCTTATTGCATGTGTCACAAAAATTCAACTCCTCACTAAATATCTTTACAACATCAGAATAAAGACATATACATTAAACAGTAACAGAGTTCTTTATAGGAAGCATACTAGACAACTAATTCCCCATTGCATATCCTCACTTGTGGGTAACAATTCACATGCTTCACAGTATTGAATTTTCACTAACAAATATTTGTAAAAAGAGGAAGGTAGGGAAATTTTAGTTTTAGTCTTAATTAGTTCTTTTTGATCAACTAAACTGATTTGATATCACATAGACATTTTCTAAAAGCTCATTTCTCATTTCCTAAGAGATAATAGAGAGGATTTCCTTTGTATTAAGTAATCTTACACACAAGATTTAAATACTTATTTTTGTAACTTTACAGAAACATATGGAGTAAGTGAAATAAAAGGGAAAAGAACACCTTAGGAACCTTGTAGTATAATATAATAGTTGTCTCTGTATAGCATTTCAGCCAAGGTACCTTATCCAGTTTATAGACCTTCAGATCGTGTCTTGCATATGTGGAATCTAATTAAACCATGGTAAAAAGATACTAGCAACATGTTCCCAGTTAGACTTTGTTATTTTTTAATATAAATCAATATTTGTATTCTTATTTTCTCTGTGCTATTTTTGTAAGGGTGTTCATGTGTGGTCAAAGTTCATATAAAATTGTTTTCACCAGTTAACAAATGTACTAGTAAAATTAATTCAGAAAAGACACATTTTCACTGAAACCTACCTAACTTAAGAGCATAACAAGCGCAACTGAGTATTGCATCTCCAACCATTAAGATCAATGTATTTGAGGCAATATATTGTAGATTTGTAAGGGTGGAGCAGAAGATGAAAACAACTCTCTCCTGGCTGTCATTACCTACAAAGAGTGAAGGAAGAAACAGACATGAGAGCAAATCAAGAACCACTTAAATCAGGCACCATAGCAACTGCTGTTGAAACATTTTTGGTTATCTTGGGAGCTGGGTTGCCAATGGGGCCCATAGACATGAAAGTGCTGTTGAAAACAGTAGTAGATGAGGGTTCTGTATTTGGACTATGCTAGTGGGAGGGGAGAGTGCAGCACTGGATACTTAAACTGAAGTGACAGAGCATACTGCATCCAGAGCATGAACATGCTGAACAATGCTAAGGAGAATTGGATACCACAGTTACGTTTATACATTACGCAGCAGGCTGGAGGTACTGACAGATTTGCATGCTTGTTCCTTTTGTGCTCTCCTTTCTAACGTTTTACTGCAATAAACAAAAAGACTGCAATGTTTTTTTTTTTAAATATGCAATAATGATGTGTTAGTTGTGTTATATAATTATATTTAGTTATTAGATATGTGAATCTGTCCATCAAGATATATGCGCTTAAATTTAAGACCTCTTAGGTCATAATGCTTCTGTTTGGAATACACAAATGTTTGTGCTGGTGTTTTTGAATGTCTAAATGTATAAATAGATACAGTACTGTATATGTCTAATATATTTGGATTATACTGTAAGAACTATGAATAAAGTTAATCTGAGATGGATGTGCTTATTAAAATGATTTAACTAGGAAAATATAATTGACATGTAATGTATCTCTTTTGCCTTCAAAACTAGAGATACAGTAGCTTAAATACTGCAAACCTCCAGTATAAACTGTATAAGAAACATGCCTGATTTCATATACATTTGCACTGCTCAATATACAATATTGGGCAGTTAGCTCCTTCCCCTTTCTGATTTAAAAGCAGTTGTCATAGTATCAGTGCATTAACTAAAAATGTCTCTTGGATAGATATGTCATATACTGTATGTCACCCTTTCTTGTTTGGAGCAAAACAGTGGTTGGTGCCTTTTCACAGTTTAGTTTGAACAGTTTATACAGTATTTGTTTTGATTTGATACAGTATTGATTTTTTTAGGTGGAACCAGGTGATATGCTGTCAGAACCTAACAGTGATCCCAAGCCAACCCCTGCCGAAAATGGTGTAAATCACACCCCCTCTATAGCTCCGAAACCACTGTCCCAGACAGTTCACCCTCCACCACCAACAGGTAGGAGATTCACAGGAAATATATTTGTCTGTCCTATTTCAGGTCTTCAGATAAAAAGTATCAATAAAGGCAGGGAAATGAGGGAATACAATAAATAAAAACAATAATATATTTGGCTGATATTGGCTAAAGAAAATGTTAGCTAAATATTAGAAGACATTAACAGATTTATGAAGGAGTTTTAGTCCAACAGTAATTCTACTTGCCCATGGGACACTTTTTCAAGGTTAGTGAATAAAAACACCATCTTGGTAAAACATCAAAGAGCAAGGCTAGGACCTGTAATAGGTTGGATGTTTGGGGTTGGAGGATGATTTACTGTAAGATGATTATGGATCCATGCCGTAACTTTATCAGAATTTAAGGAACAAAAATATTATGTTTTGTGGTTATTATTGTTGATACCATTTCAAATAGTGCCCACGCAATGTATTATGACAGCAAAGTCAGAATGGTTATTTTTGCTTATCCGTTGCGAGCACTAAGTGAATAAAAGTATATTTTGCAACCTATTGGAAATCTCCATATGTAATCATATGACACACAACCAAACAGTGACTTTTACGCACTGCAATTTACTTCAAAAGAATGTGCCCCTGTACTAATGGTCACTTAAAATCACTGAGTAGACTTTTTTTTCTAAAATAATCCGATGTAAGCATGGAATTACCCCAAAATAAAATGTGTTGTTTCTGGTACATATTATTTATATTAATCTCATGATCACAGATAGAAATTTCTTGACAATAAAATAAAAATACATTTTTTTACTTTAATTAAAAATATTTAAGTTGAATCTTCAGTAATGTCCATGTACGGTATTTTAAGATTTGTTTTCTAAATGACTTTAAAAATGGGATGTCTGTTTTAGGTTCGGTGAAAACAACAGTGAAAACTGAAGATGTTATACAAAGTGTTCTCACTGGTAAGGAGTCTTTTTTATGATGTAAAGTCTGTAATAGTTGTAATATTCCTTGGGTACCCAAGGACCTATATGGCATTTTAATGCTAATAGCGAGACTAGCATAGTGTGATAATCATTTTAAGTATTTTATTGTTTTTTTTTAGTTATAACTTAAAACAATTGATAGAATAAATACCCCCCCCCCCTTTAATTTTACCCCACTCTGTGGATTAGTTTTCTTAATATATGTTGTGTGTCTTGAAATATGTAGCAAAAATGCTTTGTGACCTTTTCAGTTGTCCAGATTTTGACTTGTTCCCACCAGGCTTTATACTGTCATTTCCATTTCATTGCTTAAATGCAAAATTGCTTGTTTAAAAGCTGCAGCCAGTGTAAAGCTGCTAACACTGCAGTTGTTTGATCCCCATGCAATTGCTGTATATTACCCCCCACAAAATTTTAGGATTCATGCACGTCCATATAAGAAGAGCGTCATATCAATTATGACCTGATGCTACATTGCCATAGGTCTACTACGTGATTCAAATATACAGTGTCTGGTATTTTTTTAAATTTATTTTAGAGCAGTATTTAGAGAATCCCACTCAGAAGTGATGACAGGAAATACGTTAGATTTACAAGTTAATGTTTTGGTTTATTTGAAAACCTAAGCTCCTTTTGACCACTTTTCTGAAAAAAAAGCACAGTTCACTTCCAGGGTGTTCTTGTTACTTAGATATAATTTTATTATCTTAATATTGTTGCCAAAAAAAGCATTTTAGAGTTTTGGTCTCCGAAGATTATATCCTGTCACATTATGTTATACCTTCATGCTTTACAGTGTTTTCTGTCACATCTTCTCACTTTTTGGCTGATTTCTGAACACCATTCCATCTGCTTGTTCTTATGCTGAATTTACCTCTTCTTTTACCTTCTTTTTACCTCTTCTAAATTTGTTAATAAATGATGGTCTTTTCCAAGGTGTTCATTTTTCAAATGGCATGGTCAGACTATCTCAGTATTATATATTTTCTTTCTGTGTAGGCTTTCTTGTTTTCCTACCCTTTGGTTGATATTATGTTAATAATCACTTTATAACACTTAATTTCCAAAGATTTTATATTCTAGATTTGCTGTGAGACTTTTGAGTTGTTCATTTTTTATAGCTAATTGGTTGTTTTTAGTTTTTTTCTCGGAGAATACATCATTTGTCATAAATCTAATAATAATACTACCAAGAAAATGAAATAATAATACGTTCTAGTCTTTCAAGTAGGTAGCTGCGTCAGCACCCGAAGAAAGCTCCACAGATGAAACATTGTTTCTTTTCAGCAAGGAATATTTTTTTTGTTCTAGTATTTCTCCATCCATTCATATACTGTAACTTAATTTCATCTGAAAGGAGAAGTTACTTATAGTCTTCATTGTATTTTTCTGCACTAATTCCAATATCACGTGTACAGCCACTTTCATCTAAACAAAAAAGGGAATACTTTTAAATCCTCCCCTAATCCACCAGTTAAAATGTTGTCAATGGATCTGTTTTCCTGATCACCTAATTGGGTGCGATCTGTATAGCTTTCAAGGGCTTTAATTCAAGATTATTTCAAGATTTTTAAAGTTTTTTTCCAGCCTTTAGCAAAACTGGTGATTAAATTGCTCTTAGACTAACTCTAACATTTATGTTGAACCATTTGCATAAAAGAGTTACCAACGTGTGTTGTACTCCTTGCTCACGCATATGGGGTACAGGTCCCCTATAACAAAAACGTATGCTTATAATTTTAGTTAATGAAAAATCACAAATGCAAATGTCCTTTAGGTATGTATTTTCTCAGTCGTAGGTCCAGTATAAGATTCAGGCAGTTCAAGGTCATAACTTCCCATCTCATTTCTTTTGAAATTCAAATTTAAAAGACTGTTGGAAGCTGTGCAAGGTTTTTCAGAAGTGATAAGTTTATTATAGCATCAATACTTTCTGTCCTTTGTAATTACAGAGATTGAAGCACAGACTATTGAAGAGCTGAAACAACAAAAAGCATTTGTAAGAGAACAGAGAAAACATTACAAAGAAATGAAGGAACTTGTGAAGAAGCATCATAAGAAAACAACAGACATGATAAAAGAACACACTGCCAAATATAATGAGTTTCAGAATGAATACTTAAGAAGAAGGGCTGTATTACAAAAGTCTGCAAAAAGAGACGGTAAGAAAAGGTAGGTTCCGTGACAAAGAATCACTCCTTTTCAAATGTATGTTTTTAAAAATCTAGTGTCAAATGTATGTTTTTAAAAATCGTGGCTGCCAGGTTTTTGAATGAATATGAAATCAGCACAGCTTCTTGTAAAGCCATCATCAAGGCTGTAGAGCTGCCCATGCCAAGAAATGAATTACAGATGCAGCCATTCAAAATGGGCGGTAAAAACCCGCGGTACAGTAACCTACCCACAAGCCAC